ATTACGACTTTTTTAAAATCAGAATTATGACTTTAATCTCAAAATTCGGACTTTTTTCTCAAAATTCTGACTTTTTTTCTCATAATTCTGACTTTTTTCTCAGAATTCTGACGTTTTCTCAGAATTCTGACTGAATTCTGACATCTAAAGAACATGTTTGCATCAAGTCGTAGCCATGTCTATTTTAGAACCTAAACTAGTTCTCTTTTTTTACTCGCCTCCTGCTCTTCCATTAATGAAATAGCATCACTGGTGACCCTTCGGACAGGTAAAAAAATCACCTAATTCCATAATTTTCCACCAATGTGTTAATGTGTTACTGTCCCTCTCAAACAACTCATATCTTTGTCAGTGAAGCTGAGTGCTCCCACTTCTCTTCCTTTATGGTGCCCTTTAAGATTAAGATCCAAAATTCTCAGATTAAAGTCAGAATTCTGAGGGGGAAAAAAATAAGAATTCCGAAATTAAAGTCACAATGCTCAGTGGCCCTAATCCTCTTCTATATATATATATATATATATATATATATATATATATATATATATATATATATATATATTTCTATATATATATGTGTGTATATATATATATGTGTGTATATATAAAGGCCATTACGACAATGAGCTTAAATAATATTTTTTATATTTATCTTGTATGCTGAAAAAGAAACAAAACTTAACAAATCAATACATTTTTGGGAAGCACATATTTTGGGTTTGAAATGTTTCTAGTAAATGATGAGCAAAAATGGAGTTTTTGCTCCCCTTCTTGAGTTATGACTCCAGTGTCTGTTTAATCTAGTGGCTTGAAGGATTTTATAAGCGAGGCAGAGAAGAGTGGCGAAATACAGAAGCCCTGTTCAGAACCTCGCCCCTTTATTTGAATCCAATCTGTTGCCCTATTACAGCCCCAAAGTGAGGCTTTTGACAATCATCGTGATGTCATCCCTGTCGGTATATAGTGTCAAAATAGATAACAGAATACATAAACCTGAATTAAATAAATAAATGTACCATTAAATAAGTAGATGTAACATTTCCTTATGTATACATAATTCAATTATTAAATGTTCCATTAAATTGTAAAATGCACAAGTAAGCAATTAAAAAGATATTTTAAATGATGCATTAAATAACTAAATCAGATTTTTAAAATCTATAATCTGGTAAGGTAAATACGATGATCTACAATACAATTAGTACTTTTGTCCTTAAAATAGGATAAAACGGTATTAACTTGAAATAAGACTTGGTCTTTCTTTTTTAAGTCATTTTATTCCTTTGGCAAGTTTTACTTAATTGCTCGAATCAAGGTAAAATGTTTATTTAAATAGAATGACTTAAATAAGAGCATGAGGATGTATTTTTATGGCGTTGCCAGTTTCTTGCATTGTTATTTTTGGGCTCACAGACTGAAATGTTTCACAACCCTTGGTTTACTATATAGACCTTATATGGGCACTATTATTGATTTATTAAATTTTTTTTTTTAACAAGCTTATATGGCAAATAAACACCTCCTCAAATTCCTTGTCAGAATCTAAACATATTGTTAAAGTTTCTACTTTCTGTTTATTAAACTCAATTTCCCTAACGTTGTCTTGAGTTTAACTCTGGTTTATCACAAGGGCTGGATATATATATGTATTGACCCAGGAAGAATGTTTTATAAGTCTTTTTGCAATATCAGAGGCAAACAGCGAATACATGAAATATTTAAAACACTAATAGAGCAGTAATCACAATAATCTAATCTGCCCTTTGTTTGTTTCAGAGTGATGGAGATTATTGCTTCTTTCCACAAGGAAGAAACTATTTTCCTCATCAGTTTTAAATCTTTAACTAGGTGGGAAAAAATAATGTTATTTTTTATACTGCTCTGCCATCTTACTTCCCACTAATCTATTTAAGGCTGCATAGACTTTTCCCTCGGTTATTTTAGATGATAATGTTTTATTTACTTGCTTTGTCACTCAGACAACAAAGCATGAATGTCCTGGTTATTGTCCATATCAAGTTGAAAACATAATCTCTTGTAATTTCCACAAAACTTTTGTGAATATTTTCCTGTTTAGTTTCTATTTGATTGTTCAACACTCTCACTTTTATGTATTGTCCTTTCTGCATGTTGTTTTCTTATTTGATATTAAAGGAGCAGCAATTTAATTATTAATCAGATTGAATTTTGAAATAATTGTGAACTGATTTGGTAATAAAATTAAATACTTAGCCAGAGAAGTAGCACACACTCTAAAACACACTGTTCGGTTACAGAATAACCCACCCACTGCAGCAATTCAGACAAAGCTAAAATACATTAAATATTAAATTACTGTTATCCATAGGTATATTTTTTAGGTCTTGCATTTCATTTAAAAGTAAAATAAAGTGCTTTGTATTAGAAATATTTATTCTCAAATATTAACTAAATTCACTTTTGGTTAATCAATTAATAAAAAAATAAAATAAACAATAAATGAATCTATTCCTAAAAAAATTGATAGCTGCCGCTCTAGGAAGGACTTTAGTGATCTTCTTACCTCATAAGGAACTGATTCATTTTTAGATTCCAATCATTTTCCACTTATTTTTTAGTGTCAGAACTGTAAAAATAAACCAAGTTATAAAACATAATAAAATACAGAAATGTGTAATAAATAAATTTACCATGAAATAAGTGATTGTAACTTTTTTTTTATGTATAAACCTCTTAATATCCCCCAATTTCTGGGAAATTCCCCTTTTTTGCACACCCAAAAGGCGCAAATAACTAAGGAACTGTAAGCTCAAATTACATGTGTGATACATAATTTGAAAGCTAACACCTTCTAGTTGCTGAATATATACATGAATATTGGGTGAGTAAACCACAGCCCAAGCTGCATCGGTTATAACATGACTCAAAGTTTTTGTATTCTCGAAAATAAGTCTTTTTTGAACAGCAGTTATAAAGACATGATTGCTTGTTGTGGCTGCTTTGTCATGTTTATATTTCGACACGCTGCTATATTTGTGCTTTAGTGCTCACTATGTCCATAAGATGAACTTGATGGTTTAATTGTGGAGAATCTAAGCTTTCAAACGATGTCTAACATGTCAATATTGGTAAACATTTGACCAGTTTAATTCTCATGCATTCTGAGTTATTTGAAACGCTTTAAAATGGTGGGTTATGAGATGCTACTGTAATACGAGTCAAATATTAAATCCAATCACATTGCAAAATGCACAATTAAACAACTTAATATCCAATTAAATATGGAAGACCTAATGAGTCACTAAAAAAGTACATCCGCCATTTCAAGTTTAACATATAAATCAGGCAATTTGGAGAGCATTTTCTAATTGCACATTTTAAAAGGAATTGTAAAAGAGGAATTGTAAATTATATTTATAATCCATAATTAAGTACTGGAATTTTAAAATGTATTTTCAAATCCCATTTCTAAAAGGGAGATTTAAAAATAAAAAATAACCAATTCATAAATCTAACTATAAATACCTTTCCTAATCGCATATGAAAATGGGTTATTCCTTTTTCCACTTGAATTTTAAAATCCTCTTTAAAATTGCAATTTATTTCTGCTTTACCCACTCTATTTACAAATTCCATGACCCTTCTGGTTCCTGAGCACAATGAAAATCAGTTTAACCAATCAGTTGCCCATCAGATGTAACCCACTCCATTATTGGTCTGAGTGTGACAGTCTAAGAAATTTGAGTTTAGCCCAGTCCAAATAATCACACTAAGCCCAACACTAAGTGTGCACATAGAGAAAGTCCACTTCAGGGTTTGAGGGTGCAAGCGTGCAAAATCTGAAGAGAGGGAACAGTACTTGCATTGTAACGTCGACATTGAAAGTGACAGGACCAATCCCTCTTTTTTGCTATAAAAATAGGTTTAAACTCCAACAAGAGGTACTTTAGTATTCACATGTATACACTAAAGTATTGTTTCGATAATTACGCGTCAAAACAAGTGTTTTCTTCAGAATAACTAATAATCCGCCCTAGAAAGGAGTTTGATTTTCCCACTGCATAAGAAAATGCTTCATTGTTAGACTATTAATAGATTCGTTTTTAGTTTTAATACTCATCCTTTTCACATCAATGTTTTCAGAACTTTAAACAGGAATCAAAGTTATAAAGCACAAATTACTTAAATACTTCTTTACCTTGACAAATTAAACTGCACTTCATTCCCCACCTATGATTTTCAAATAAACATCTGACTCTTACAGAGACAAAAACAAAATTATAGGACTTTTCTTCACAAAAGGTTGTTAGAAAGCAAGCCATACTTTAAATGTACATGAACGAACTAGCATCAGACAGCAGAAATATTAATTTCTTCACCATATAACTAACTGTATACGCTAGTTTTAGCATATAAATTTTAATTTTGTGAAATTATTGTTTTTAAATGCATCATTACAGAGTTTTTAACCCCATGCTTAACCAGCGCCAACAAATCATTTATTTACCTGCATTATAGGGCTTGTAGTTCAGCCACAGAACATTATTTCCATATAGAAATTCAAATTCCAGAACAAATTAATGAATGCAAATAAAATAAAAACCCTATAAAAATGGACAACATAAATAAGACCTTACATTAAAAATAAGAGTTTATTAAAGATCGTTTCTGATATTTAGTTAGACTTAGTCATTTTGTACACACAAAGTGTATACAAAAAAGAAATTTTGTTTAGTACAGCTCTCTAGACTTTTTCCTTTTTTAAAGTGCAGCCTTGATAAATAAAGGTGAGCAGCACTGAGAAAAACACTGGGATGAAAAGAAGTGATGTAAACATGCAACTGTATAGTTACAGTTCAAACATTTAGTTTTTTTTTTTTAGTTGATTTAGTTTATTTTATTGGAAAGCAAATATTTTTTCTCATTTATAAAGCTGTATATTTCTGAATAAAACTTGTTTTATAGGTCCCAAAGAGGCTCTCTAACCTTTTATTATTTTCCTTCTCCGTTGTACTTTTGTGAAATTTTTAGTAATCAAACATCACTGACATTTTATTTGTGCTTACAGATATGTACAGTACAATAACATTATTTACAATCAACATGACTATTTGCTTTTATTAAAAAAAACAACAACAAAAACACGCATCTCATGAAATAAATACAGCTGTTCATGTTTTGGCTGCCAAAACTTGATATAAGTTACTGATCCACAAAGAGAAGATGGCAGCCTCCATGTCACTGCTTACTGTAGTGAAAACAGTCAAAGTGATGGAAGAATGAAACGAATTATCAGCACTGCTCATATCCGGCCTTCAGAGACAGGGCCAGAGACTCCACTGCAAAAAAAAGAGGAAAAAGAACCTGATCATCATCTCTGTCTGTAGAAAGTGAAGCCCTGATGTTTGGGAGCCCAGATCAACAGGTTTTACTCACGATGAGGAAATGAGCCCCGACGAACAGCCTTATTAAGTATCGTCACCAGGAACATGTGGCAGTTTTTGAAATCCAACTCCATCTTATCAATAGACTCGATCCTGGAAGGAAACACAAGATCAGGTAAAGATGGTCACCATGGCGATCCCTGCTCCAAGTTTGGGGTCAATAGACAGAAAATAATAAAATCCAGTATGCATGTTTTTCAACTCTTACTTCCAAGCTCCAAATCCAGCTCTCCATCGGTCTGAGAAGATGAGCACCAGATTGAGAACCTTCATTATCGCCTCTTTCACGAAGCTGACCTAAAAAAAGATGAGTGTTAGAAGCGAGACCTTCTCTCTCCTCCCCGGGATTCATAACAACAGCATGCTTTGAGAAAAGTTGCAGTGCTAACTGATTCTCAGCTCATTAAACCAATGTGATTTAAAAAAAAACTGCTGTAGTTTGACTCCTGCAGAATTAAACGGCTGTGAAACTCAAACATGAATAGCATCAGTGCAGCAGGTCTTTTTTCAATTAAGTTTATGACTTTATATGTGAGGAGGAGGATTTTAAATTCTATTCTAGATTTAACAGGCAGCCAATGAAGAGATAGGAGAGACATGATGATAATTTTCATCAGAACTCTGTCTGCAGCATTTTGGATCAGCTGCAGGCTTTAACTACAGTTTCTGGACTTCCTGATAGTAAAGAATTACAATAGTCCAGACTTGAAGTAATAAATGCATGGACTAGTTTCTCAGCATCACCCCTGGACAGGAGATTTCTAATTTTTGCAATATTCTGCAGATGAAATGAGGAAATTCTAGAAACCTCTTTGACATGGGATATAAATGATAGGTCCTGATCAAAAATAATATTCCGATCAATTCCCCATTACAACAGCAGACACTTTTATAGATCTGCTAGATTTAGTCAGTTTTTTTTTAAAGCTGTGTAGCGAAAAACTCTTAAAATAAAAGTAGCTTTTAGAACAGCAGTAGAAAAGGTTACAGAGCCTAAATAAATAAATGACGCCAACTGAGCCGAACTGGGACATTCACTGGGATCAGGCGCATTAGTCAGATGATACCAGTGTGGCAACAAACATTTCAAGTGGGTGTGGTGTAAAACAAAGGATGAATATGTGGAAATGCACCCCATGCCTTTTGGTGAGGTGGAGTATCAATGATACTGTGGGCCTTTTTCTCATCCAAAGCCTTTAGATATTTAAGAGCTTTTTAGAAGCTTGAGACCAGAACATTTTTAATTGAATGATGATCATCTCTGCCAGTAAGATAAAAATGGATCAGTTTGAGCAAATATAAATCCTACTTTTATGCACAGACTGTTCCAGACTGGAACTCTATATAAAACCTGAGGGGTAGGTAAACAGAAGAGGACAGATATCTGGAAGATCTGGAGGGCATTTTTAGAGAGGAGTGGTAAAAAGTCTCTCTCTCTGTATGATGTTATCTTATAAAGCAATATGGTTTTATATTCTAATGAGAAAAGTACTATGAAACGCTGGATTTGATCGCGAGTTCTGAAGAATTGAGCCTGCTTTTAGAATTCAGCACAAGGCGTTGACCTTTTCTCTTAACAGACAGCGGTCATGGATAGTTGCCAGGTATCTGTAGTGGATCTTGATCAGCTGGTCCAGGTCTTTTGCTTCCTGTACTTGGTTCTGAAACTCCAGTCCAGTGCTGTGCAGAATCTGTCAACAAACAAGGAAGGCATTTATCCAAAAGCAAGAAAAAAAATAGATTTCAAACAGAAGAAGTGGATTTGGAGCTTGTGCTTTCTGACTGCTCAGTGCATCGATGGCTGTTTTCTGGCGGATCACCGATTTTTAAAAAGCCTGACCTACTGATTATTACTGTTACTGATATGTTTTATAACTGATGCTGTCAGATGTTATAAGATTACAACACAGCGTTAAAGTTTAAATCTTATTTTATTGCATGGAAAAATGATCTAGAAATAAGTAAAACATTTCTTAAATTAAGCGTATTTACCCTTAATTTGAGCAGGTAAATGAGATAGTTTTCCAATGGAATGAGTATTTGTACTCTTAAAATAAGATTATTAGATAATATGCCCTTGAAATAAGACAATGCAATTGTATTTTCTTATTTTAAATGAAAATTGTCTTGTTCGATTGGCTAAAATGTCTCTTTTTCCTCCTCAATCAAAGAAAAAAAATGACTCGTCTAGATTTCAATTTTTTCCAGTGTGAAAAACATTGAACAGTACCCATTAAACAATAAAAGCTTTTAATTCAGCTACACATGAAATGTTTCTATAAAATATAACCAATATTTAGAGCATAGACATTATACACTGAATCCAACTTAACCTTCACTCACCTTGTCAGATCATTTTTAATCGTAGGAACAATAGCTCAGTGACAGTATATTGGCCATAGAGACACAGGCAGACCTTGTTGCCCATATATGCATATTTGTCCTGCATATATGGGCAACCAGAGGAGTGGCGGCCTAGTGGTTAGGGTTTTGGGTTTGGATCCCAGAGGTTCTGAGTTCAAGCCCCACTCCCACAAACTGCCACTCTGGGTCCCTGAGCAAAGACCTTTAACCCCACAATGCTCCCTGGGCGCCGCACAATGGCAGCCCACTGCTTCCCAAAGGGATGGGTTAAAAGCAGAAAGGGAATTTCATTTCTTTGCACTTGTGACAGAGTAATGACAATAAAAGTTGAATGTTAGTCTGTTCTGTCCGCTCACAGACAGAGACACACTTCCGTTACACTGCAACACATCAGAGCCCAGTTCCTCTAAAAAATAAAACGTGAAGTAGCTAAAATTTGAATTTCTTCCTGAACCAACCAAGATGCAATGCATTCTGGGAGAAACTAAAGCCAGCAGCTTATGTCTCATTATGTCAGAAACTGAGGGACAAAAACACCAGATTCATCTACATCTGATTCTTTTTTTTAAATCTGTATTCTTTTAAAAACAAATTGCAATAGTATAGATGTAAAAAACTAAATGTATGAATATTTATATTATCATTATAATGTTTTTGTAACAGACCATATGTCTATATATTTGTTACCTTTTTATTGTATTTTCAAAATTGTATTGTAACTTTTTTCATTGTATTTACAAAAAAAATAGCAGCTTTGATAATTCTGTTAATCTACATTTATGCAGATAAAGCTAATCAAAGTTCAATTAAATTAAAAATTGAATTAGTATGCTGCCCGCCACACAAACTATTAAATTTAGTTTTGTTTATCAATAATAAGTTTGCTCCTCGCCCATTCCCATTTAAATTGTAACGGCAATCAAACCCAAACCCTATAGACACTGTTTTGCCTGCTAAAAAATAAAAAGCTGGGAAAAGAGCCTTACATGGAAAGTCAAGATTAAGTAAGCTAAAAGAAGCAAAGCAACACAGTGGTGGGATAACTGGGGCTGCTGCAGAGATCAACTTTAGCAAAAGTTCCCCTCCTTCATTAAACAGCTCAAGCTCAGTCTCTACATGTGCAGATCTGGCAGAAACACGGCCATAAAAAACCTTCACAGCTGTTGTTACAACATATGGTGGTGAGAAAAAAACAATCACTCAGTTCCTGTTTTCTTTTTTCTTGCATGTTTGTCACACTTAAAGGAATAGTACACCCAAAACATGATTAGCCTTCATTTTCTACTCACCCCCATGCTGAACAACACTCTGGAGTACTTTTTTGATATCTCAAATGCATCTGGAGATCTGGGAGGCTTCTTGCTGTCTGCTGACATTCAAATAATGGAGGTCTATGGTGTCCGAGGCAGAAAGGTCCATAAAAGTCCACAAAAAACGTGTCAATATTCCTCCATACTGCTCGTCCAATGTATTCCAAGTGTCCTGAGTGGGTAGCATCCAGAATTTACTCGAAACTAAGTCATTTAGAATGTTTTTAGAGCATAAACAGTAGTGTATAGGATTTCCTGAAAGCGCGCGCCGGCGAGTTCATGACGCTACGGAAACCGCGGCAGACCAAACCAGATGAAAGTGCGCATTCAGCTCGGCAAAGAACTCATGCTCTTCCTCAACACTGAAGTCCTCAGACATTTTTCTTTCGTTGTTTCTTTCTTTGCACAGGTAAACAGCAGATTTCTTCTTCTACGCTTGCATTATCGGCAGAGCAGACGCACTTTCATCTGGTTTGGTCTGCCGGCTTCCGTAGCGTCATGAGGAATATTGACACGTTTTTTGTGGACTTTTATGGACCTTTCTGCCTCGGGCGCTGGGCACCTCAATTATTTGAATGTCAGCAGACAGCAAGAAGCCTCCCAGATCTCCAGATGCATTTGAGATATCAAAAAAGTACTCCAGAGTGTTGTTCAGCATGGGGGTGAGTAGAAAATGAAGGCTAATCATGTTTTGGGTGTACTGTTCCTTTAAATGTATCATAACTTTAAATATTAGTCAAAGAAAAAAAAAGTTTTTTTATTAAGGTTTTTACCATAAAAAGGGAGACAAAAATCCAACCTACATGACCCTGTGAAAAAAAGTGATTGGACCCTAAATCTACCAACCATTTTGGTTACCCTTAGCAACAGCTGCAAGAGCTCGCATTAACTTGCAGTCGAGTCTTTTCAATCTCTGTTGAATTATGTTTTTTTTTTTCCATTGGAGGGTTTTCCAGATTAAACAGCATTTTTAAAGGTCATCCCAACGCACCTCCATAGGATCCAGATCAGGACTTTGACTAGGCCCCTCCAAAGTCATCATATTGTTCCCCGTCATTCAGAAGTAATTTTCCTGGTATTTTAGATTGTTTTATTGCTGCAGAACCCAAATAAATTTTCGTCTCAAATCACCAGCATATGGCTGAACCTTCTCCTTGAAGATTTTTTTTTTTGACAGAAAGAATAACTCATGGCTTCATTATTCACAGAAAGTCCAGAAGCATCAAACAGCCAAGATAATCACTCCACCACCCCCATAGTTTACTGTGGTTATGGTAGTGTTGTTCAGAAATGCAGTGTTATTTTACATCAGATAAATTGGGGACACTACATATCTTTTGACCCAAGTATTAGCTTAATTTGAGAATTTTTCAGGTCAATATACAGATGGTGGTGCTCATCAATGTTGCATGAAGGTGGCGGCCCTTCTCAAAAACTTGCCTGGTTAACTTCAGGGGGTCAGATCTGTCACTGAATCAGTCATGTGACCCAGAGCGCCGCTTTATGGCAGTCTGAGCTCCCCTTAAACACCACAGCCAGCTAAGCTAAACTAAGAGCTGTTTCTTGCCAACGAAACCGATATCATCCTTTACTGATCAGACATATTTTTGGTTCCCTGGTGTGGGATTTGATGTGGAGGGAAAGTGATCTTGAATGAACAAATAACTCTCTGACATGACTTCTCAATCTGCTGGTCCAAAGTGGTCTGCTAGCACAGAGGTTAAAAAACATTTCTGCTTCTGACCCACAAAACGCAATCATAGTCAACTCATGACCCAAACTACTGGTAGAGTATACCAACATTTCTAAAATATCAGTTAGGGATGCAACTAATGATTATTTTACAAAACGATTAATAATCGGATAGTCAAAGTTTCCTTCAAGAAGATTTTTTTTAACTTTTTTTTAAACTAAAATTTTTATACTTGAGGAGTTCTGGATTGAACATATTGACAGAGGAAAAAAAAAAGAGTCTATACTCTATTTAACAATTAATCAATTTCTTATTTCATTGACAATTATTTCAATAATTGATTAATCACGATGAATCCGATTTATTGTTTCAGCCCTAATATCAGTAAACCATGGGTGTAATAACAATACAAGCAGCCTCAACAACCAAAGTAGTTGGTTTTGTTTATTTTTAAGTTTTTTTTCTTTTTTATATATCTTTACGCATGTTATTTATTTCTTTGTTGTTTAGTTAATATCTGTAGTGGATCTGAAGATCCCATAGTGGTTAATCAAGGACTCCAGCTTTGGGAATCAATATGCAAGCAGATTCCAAAACACAGAGGCTGCGTCCTAACGGTGCTCTATTCACTGTATACAGAGGAGACTATATAGTGCAGTTAACTGACCTTCAGATGACCATTACTTTGTTCTTTCTCGCCCCCTAAACAAATCCCATGACGTTTAGCAAGGAAAGCTCTTGCAAAGAATTCTATGATCTATCTGCTTGTCTAGTGAGCATAGATGGACAATACCTTTCAAGGTGCATTGTGGGAAACCTTAACGGAGGCAAACGGGTCCTTTAGATGTTGTTGGGTCTTTTGTTTAAGTCCTTGCTGCTCTCTTTGAGTAACTTTGGTCAGCCAGCCACTCCTGTGGTTCTATAAAATGAATGACTGCATCGCTAAATACAAATGCATGCCACACTTTTCAGATTTCTATTGGTCAAAACCTACTGGGAAATATTCTGGGCTATTACACTCAAGAGAATAAACTAAAGTTTGTTGTTTTGATAAAAATGGGGAAAAAATTCAAGATTATAAACATTTGAGGAAAGTACTAAGTGCAACATATGTCATAGCTTTGATTAAAGGTGTCAGACGCTGCACCTGTTATAAAATAATGATTTAGAAATTGTATAAAATGAAGCTTTGGTTTATCTTCCTCAGATGTAATCTGAGCTTTGGGAGTCTATGCAGAAACGGCCTTGTCTTACCCTGGTCATGATGTAGTTGTGGAGGCTGTTGACAAAATGCATCAGTTTCACTCGCAGAAGACACATCCTGTGAATCTGCTGGCTTATCGGCTGCTTCACTTCCTCTGCAGGAGATCCTTCCAGTTTCCTTGTGACTTCTGCAAAATCTGAAAAAACAAAGCAAAAGTTAATGAAATCCTTTAATAAATATAAGATCCCTAACATCAAACTGACACGCCGTGTTGGAAGGAAGACATGCTTAGGATTACCCAAAGAACACCTCATCTATAGCGAGGCACTTCCAGTGATTTAGACAAATATAAAGCAACAGCACTGAGGGTAATGCACCAGTAAATAACATTCTGACATTCGTGTGTCAATGATGTGACGCAGGTGAGCATTTCAGCTCTAATCTCAGCTCTTACCACCGAACCGAAGCGTATCCAGACTGTATTTAGCCCATTTAATCTGCAGCAGGAGAAGGAAGACTTGATTGTAGATCTTCTGACACTCAGAGCTGATCACGATGTCTACAGGCCAGGGTACCTGTGGAAAGCAGACCAAACGAACCTCAACACCACAGATTTACCCGTTATGAATAAATGATAAATAACTTTTTTTTTTACCTTGTAACTCAGGGTCAGGACCTCTAAATTATTCACTGGATGTTTCTTCCTGGATGGGTCAAGAGGCTCCAGAAAGACTGACAGCCTATTGGATATAAGAATGTTAGAGGAAACATTTGCTTTGTATTTCATGGTTTTTGTATTAAAACCGAAGGTGTGCAGTACCTGCCACTGTCCTCTGGGTAGCGCTGTCCTACTGCCTCCTGCAGCAGCACGTTGAGAAAAGAAGGCTGCTGCCAGCTCTCCTTTTCCTGCACCTTATCAAAGATGGCGGTGTAGAAATCGTACATAGTGTCTCCAGCTTCAAGCAGGAAGTACTTCCTCATGGCTTGGAGGTATTCTAGCAGCCTGAGGAAACAGGAACAGAGTAACACTCTGGATATGATCCCACTGAAGCTGGAGGTGCTCATTTACTCATTCGCTTACCTGTAGTCTTTTTTCAAAGTCCTCATGAGGTTCCCGCAGCACTCGATGTACCTCCTCTCAATGTGGGGATAAAGGCAGCAGCGCAGGGTGAGCTCGAAGGTTTGGCAGGTGACCGACTGAGAGGAGCGGTCCACCATGAAGTCGCCTCCGGAGAAACGCTCATGGAAGTCTCTCTGCTCCAAGTAGAGTCTGAGGAGGAAGAGGGGATGCTGGGTCACTCAGATCTTCACATGCAGGAATGTCTTACCACCTAATTACTTTTAAAAGAAAAACATTCTGAACAAGTTTTAATTTTGTGCTATTTTAGGAAAAACAAAAAAACACCACATGGGGTGAAGACGGAACATATAGGTTTAAATCCATGCATGGACCCCCACTGGTTCTTGAATGAATGCAAGATTCCTTCTTTTTTTTTTTTTAATCAGGGTAGATCTCATTAAGATTCTTCCTGTTAAAAGGGAGTTTTTCCTCTCCACTGTCACTACAAGCATGCCTAGTATGAGGGATTGCCTTCAAGTCGATGCAATCAACTGGTTTTCCTTAGATAGAAAACTTTGAATTAATTTGGCTGTATGATCTGGTGAACTGTAAAGTGCCTTGAGATGACATGTGTTGTGAATTGGTGCTATAGAAATAAACTGAATACAATTAAGATTGAAAAGAGAAACTTGGACAATAATCAGCTACTAGCTAAAACCCCTTAGCAAGTTGTTGAAGAACCAGATGCTTTTTGCAGCTGTTGTAAAATCCTTAGATAGCTCTGGGTTAATGTTGGAGCACTGCCCTCAAACAAGTGGTAAAGGAGTCATAACCTGGTATTTTACATAGAAAAAAAAAAAAGAATTAAAATTTTTGTTTAATCATCTTTAGATCAAAATAAATAAACAGCACTTATTCAGACCCCTTTATAGCCCTTTTTTGTTGCGAGGGTACAAGAATTTGATGTGTAAATGTGTGTTCATGTTGATATAAGATACTGTTAGGTATATTGCTGTATGGATCATTTACCATTGTTTCCAGGTCTACTACACAAAAGGTCAAAAGCTACACAACCAACAACACTTTCCCACTGCCTGCTGGTGAGTTTCTGATTGGAATCACCTCTTTGGATGGAATAGAGAAAGGTGTGTTCTTAGCGAGGCGGGCTAATGTTAGCCCCTTTCCAGGATTGACGTCAGTGCAGAAGGAACGCACTCATGTGGGCTTTTCTGTTTTGAGCAAAGAGCCCAAATGAAAACAAAAAACAAGCCGCTTTCACACTCTGGATTTTCCAGCAGGTTTTAGTTGAAGCTCAAAAACTAACACGTTTTAACTGGGGCTGGGCAATATAACAAAACGCAGTTTTCAAGTACTCAATTTTGGTCACATAACATTTACCGTATTTTCACGACTATAAGGCGCACATAAACATCTTTTTTTCCCCTCAAAATGTGCGGTGCGCCCTATGGTGCGGTGCGCCCTATGTGTGTTGCAACTGCGACTTTTGAGACCACCTCATTGAGGAGATGATAAAAGAGTGGCTGAATGTAAGGAGACCAGGTGTTTTTTTTTTCCACTCATCACCACACCATCGCTGTTAATCTGACTCCATGCGTGCCCATCTCACAGCTGATGTGAAAAACATGGTGAAACAAATTAATGCTGTGCTCGCTGTGAACCGGACCCAGCAGGTGCAGCAGAAGCAGCGAGTTTACATGCAAAGTCAACGGTTGGCGAGCGTATAGACGCAGCAAAAGGTCCCGCAGCGCGTTTTGAGCGAGTCGGGAGCGCACCGCCAACGCGCTGCTGCTGCTCGAGATGGAAACAATTGAAGTTTTGCTGCTGGACGCGCCGCATCAACGAATCAGAGAAGCTGATCTGGGAGCTGACAGCGAGACAGACACAGCGCTCTGATGACATATGATTTTAAAGCAAATGAAAGGGCTGGATGGATGAGGAGATGATGAAAGCGTGGCTGAGGGATGTGTATGTGAGGAGACCAGGTGGTTTTTTTCCACGCATCACCATCGCTTTTAATATGTGACTCCATGCGTGCCCATCTCACAGCTGATGTGAAAAACATGGTGAACAAAAATAAACGCTGTGCTCGCCGTTATCTCGGGGGTCTGACAAAGGAACTTCAACCGCTCGACATCGGTGTGAAGCAGCCGTTCAAAGTAAGGCTGCGAGCGGCGTGGGAGCGATGGATGACAGACGGAGACCACAGTTTCACGATAAGTGGAAGGCAGCGCCGGGCAAGTTACGCCACCTTTAGCGGATGGATTGTTGATGCTGGGACTAATGTGTCTGCTGGCTCTGTTGTTCAAGCTTTCGCAAAAGCCGCCATTATTTCTGAGGAGCCGCGCTGCACGGAAAGTGACTCTGACAGCGCAGAAGGGGAAACTGGCATGTCTGATTTAGCGCAGCTGTTTAATTCAGAAACAGAGGATGATGACTTTGATGGGTTTGATTAATACTTTGTAATAAATACATGAATAAAGCACAATCATACTCAGTTTTGCTCCCGCTCTATTTTTCTACCTGAAAACTTAATTCAACAGCAGCCTCTGGGCGGGTCTCCTCCTCTTCACCGCGGCGGCTGGCAGGTGTTTTTTCATCTAAATAATCTAAATCTTGCAGCTATATTTGCTGTGATCAGTGGGAATAAAGTAGTTTTAATATGTTTTTAAGTGAGAAAGTCCACCTGAAAACTTAATAATTGCAGTCAGTTCATCCAGATTATCTATTTCTGTCGGAGGCGCTCAGACCCCCACATACCAGCGGTGCACCGACAGCAGAAATCCCTTCAACAGCAGCCTCTAGACTGGGCAGCCTCCGGGTTCACCACGGTGGCTGGCAGGTGATTTTCATCTAAATAATTTTAGCTGCAGGCACCAGGATACCGGTAATAAAAGCGAACAAATTCCGTCGGCAGGTTTCAGGATTTTAAGTTAATTTAGGAGCGATCACAGCGCTGTGTCATCTGCGATGTGTCTGTCTCACGGCCAGCTGCCAGGTTTGATTAATACTTTGTAATAAATACATGAATAAAGCACAGTCATACTCAGTTTTGCCCCCGCTGTATTTTTAAATACGCAGTAGAGGTATTTAAAGGTAGTAGAGGACATGTACCGGTATATAAAAAACGCGCCCTATAGTCCGGTGCGCCTTATGTGTGTGTTAAATACAGAAATGGGACACATAACTGAGAGTGCGCCTTTTAGTACGGTGCGCCTTATGGTCGTGAAAATACGGTAAAAAGAGTAAGACAGAACATTTCTGTCTGCAGCCCTTTAGGTGGCAGTTATGCAATTTAAGAGGGTTTGCCAACACGGAGAGAGGTAGAGAGAGTTGCAGCTGCCAAACAGACACACGCATACAAATAGAAGTAAGTCATATTTCTCACACAGGTTAAACTACAGTCCTGCAACAATGGAGAAGCAACCTTTCATGGGGTAATGAAAAAACTGAAACCATAAAAGAAGTACAAGCTGGTGGTTAATGCAAAGGAAAATGTTTGATTTTTGGGGAGATTGTTCAGCCCTATTTTTAACATGAAGATGATGACTCCTTTACTGTTGGTCTATTTCCTACCATTAGCTGGCCCTTTTGGGTATGGGGGGAAACATCAAAATTCTGAAGGTATTTTTCTCAAACACACGAGAATCCATTGTGTTTAAGGTGGGACGTATAGCTGGGATTAAAAATTAGAAGTCCTGAGCCCACAGTCCAATCAGAACAAACATTTGTGGAATTGGGGGAGAGCTGTATCAGGCCGCTGCCTACAGGCGCAGCCATGAAAACTTCTGTCATTTGATCACCACTGCACTTATGAAAGGTGCACAAAACAAAATATCGTTTTGCATACACTTTGTGTATATAAAATGACAATAAAAGTTGTAAGTATAAGTCAAACATGCCTGTGCATGATGACACATGTAGCTGCTGGTATCATATCTGTTTTGTCAGAATCTGTGATTTAATCTCTGAAATAGGAACAGTGAGAATTGCTTTGTGTCTTTCAAGGTTAGGAGAAACAGCTCCTCCTTTGACACTTTTGAGTAGAAAATTTTCCTTCAGGAGGCTTTTTGATTGTCAAACTGCAGTAGAGTAGAAGAAGTAAAGAGAGGATTTGTGGCGGTGCCCTGTCAGATCATATTTATTGAAAACTGGCTGCAGTTTAAACCACGACAAGGTTCTTTTTAATGATAGTCTTGTAAAGGGATCTACAAACAAATTGTACAACTCTTCAGGGCTACAGCTGCTCCTGTTCGCCTTCTTTCATAGCCAATCCACAATAAATTCCAGCTTGTGCACAAAATAAATGAAAACACGTTTCATATATTCCATAACAGTTTCTTCCCCACTGCCATTAGACTGCTGAAAGTTGTGTAAAAAGGGTTATTTTATCTATATATTTTTTTAAAAATTGTTTATATTACTTTTTTTATGTATTTATGATTGTTTTTCAAGGCTGCACTTCAAAAATGAAATTGGCTAGAGCTGTTTTACATTAAATTTCTTTTTGTATACACGAGTGTATACAAAATGACAAAATAAATCTGTCTAAGTCATGTTGTATTTTCATTCTTCCCTGTAGAATAAAGAGAAATGCATCATTACAAGCTCCACATTATACAACAGCAATGGGGATGATGAGTTTATGCAGACCTCTGCTCTGTAGTCTTTACATACATACCAGCTTATGATACAAGAAAACGAAATATAATAGATAGTGAGAAATTGTTTCCCAGCAAAGCCAAAAAAACGTGATTTTGTTGTTACTGGATACCTGGCGAAGTTGATGGCTAGCAACGGGTCGTGGACATCTTCCATCTCCAGGTGCTGCGCGACAATGGACTGCATCTTGATCAGACTCCTGGTGGTGGCCTGCTCTTCGGTCACTTTGTCTGTCGGGGATTCTTCTGGGCTGCTCAGGCGGGACTGCACAGACTCCAGAAACAATGTGTACAAACTCTTCCTCTCCGCATCTGCAAAGTCGTGTTTTTTCTTTAATTTACTTGGAGAGGAAAAAAACAAATACGACCTACTAATGGGACAAACACAGACCTCTGGAGGATCTCCCAGAATCCTCAGCCTCCCTGCAGTCCAGATTCTTCAGCAGCTGCATGGACTTCCCAGCCATGATGATCTGCTTCAGCACAGGTTTAAGGAAGGACACCATGGTGAGCTGCCTGTTGCTGGAGCCCTGATCCCCTCCTGAGCTCCCGCTGGCTGCGTCGTTCAGCTTTTCCTCATTGTCCACCATCTCCGACACACTGTACAGGGTGTAGGTGGCGTACCAGAAGTCTTTATGGTTTACTGGGACATCCTTATTTCTGGAAAACAAAACAAGAGAGAAATTCAGGATTTTAAAAGAATTTTATTCCACCTAGTTTTTATTTTATTGGGATTTTGAGACGGAATTTAATTATTCATTTGCAAAAGAAAATCTTTCTCATTTGCATTTAGCCTATGAGTCATGACGTAGCAGAACCAACTTCAACACTTTTGTTATTTAGACTTTTCTGAATCTGTGCATCATTTTTCTTTCACTTGACAATTGTGACCTATTCATTGTGGTCCATTGTATAATAACAATGAACTATGTGCTAGAATTATGCAACGAATACTGGAAAAGTTCAAAGGGTTTGAATACTTTAGGATGGGAATGTGTGAGGACTCCTGTCACCTACCGCTGGATGATGAACTCCTTTGCAGGGTCGAACAAATGGCCGTGAACAATCCACTCATCCACGATCTCCAGGTATGGTCTGACCGTCTCAGTCCACAGAGAGAACAGCAGAGCCACCTGGCACAAAAAGAATTACTAACATTTAGATCATTTGGTTTCTTTGGAAAGATTTAAAACTTCACCTTCATGGTAGAGGTATAGGAAACTAAAAACATAAGACAGACCGCTTGCTCGGAGGCATCTCCGACGCTGTCATACTCAATGATAGCTTTATAGAGAGTATTCAGCAGGTGAGAGGCTCGCACAACGTTTGGGGTGGCGGGGGGAACCTCGGCGACTCCTGTGCAGAAGACTTTGTGCAGCACTTTAATCTGAGCCAGGTGAGGACTTAGGCGCTCCAGAACGGCAGACAGGGTCACCGTTTCCTCTGCAAAGAGACAACAGGTCATCCAGAAGGTGAGAGGAAGACCTCTGGCATCACAACTGGACAAAAAAAAAAAGACGTAAAATCTATACAGCGACACAGAATGGACAAGCTTGTATATAAACCTGTACAGTCCTGGCTTAGACGCTGCACTGAGTGGGTTGTTCTCTAAACAAATGGGACGTTTCAGAGTCTGATTACTCCAGTAAACAATTATTCAATTACATAATTAGTCGCAATCATTTCATTAATCATAACATTTAATTTCAGAATTGTTTCAGCCCTACTATCAACTCTAATGGGTCAGTGCAGCTTTCAGTTGCCATGGAGACTGAATTCAAGCTGGAGGATGGGTAACTACCCCCTCTGCTCCGGGAAAAGCATGCATATATATATATATTTTTTTTTTAAGGATGGAACGGTTTATGAAAACCATCAGAACCGTTCGGTTCGACTGTCTCGGTTCGGTTCGCGTGTGTTGCGTTTGGTTCATGCGCGGCTTCTTTTTCTCATAGGCGAAGCGTGTACACTCCAGAGCAGAAGGTGGCGGTACTGCGACCAAAGCCAACCTCCAGTAGTAAACAAGAAAAAGAAGAAGAAGCGAGGCAGCGTAGCCGGGTGTAGCAGGAAAAAAATCAGTTGTTGTGGAGAATTGTGTGGGTATGGCGAGTGGGAAAGAACAGGAGTTGGAAGACGCGCCAGCAGCACTTTATAGGGCTGCTGTATGGGAGCGCTTTGCATTTAGAGTGACCTACGACGGCGGAAAGAAAGTTGTGGATAAAGGTGCAACAGTGTGCAAGCATTGTACAACACGTTTTGTGTATGCTAACAGCAACATGACCAACATGTCATGCTAAGCCCGAAATCCCTCATACTCCGTCATGCTCCCATCCGCCCCGCTGCGCTCCAGACCGCCTGCAAAAAGCAAACCCTACAGCCTCTGCTGTGGCTCCCGTCCGCTCCGCTTTCAGTTTCTTGGAGATCGTAGAGGGCATGCGCGAGATGATTAAATTCAAAGCAGCAAATGATCCAGGGTTTCCGCGGGTCATTAAAAATAATTACAATTCGGTGTAACAATCAACATATACCGAACCGAACCGTGGATTTTGTTTACCTTTCCACCCCAAACATATATATATATATATATATATATATGCATGGCTAGGCTAATGGCTAGAAGGTTACACACACACACATTGATGCAGGACTTTACTGTAATCTTTCTGTGAAAACGTTCTTTTTACTATTATGCATGGATTACTGTTAAAATTTGTTGGTACAAAGGAGCATAGTTGACATACTGGCTTTGAAAAAACACCAACAATATTAAGATGAACATACCAATATGTCATGCTGAAATGCGGGGATTTACAGGTACATATGGGGACATTCAACTGGTTCCCATAAGGTAAAGGTCTGGTCTTTTGAGTTGGGGTTAGGTTTAGCACTAAGGTGTGAATTCAGTTTAGGGTTAGGTATGTGCTGGTAATAGGGTGGGTAAAGGTCTGGTTTAGGCCGTATAAAATGATTGCAGGTGAATGAAATCTCCCCATATGTCATGAAAACGAAGCCGGATGGAAAAGACAGCTTTCAAGGTTATGAAACCTTCTACATCAGGGGTGCCCAAGTCCAGTCCTCAAGAGCTACCATCCTGTAACTTTTAGATGCATCTCTTCTCTAGCACACCTGAATCTAAAGCATCAATCCCATCAATTAGCCCAGCAGAGGCACAGGAACGAGCCACTCATTTGATTCAGGTGTGTTAAAAATAGTTGCATCAAAAAGTTGCAGGATAGTAGCTCTTGAGGACTGGACTTAAGCACCCCTGCTCTACATGCTTGTGCTTAGTGCAAAAGAAAAATCTCCAAAAAAAAAAAAGAATCGCAATATATGTAGAAAATAATCACAATTCTGATTTTTGGCTAAAACATTTAACCAATCAAGTTAAACTGGAATGTTTCAGTTTAATTTAAGCCACAACTGGGATGAGTTTTGCAGTTTTAGTGGGATTCTTTTGTTGTTGGGAATAAATGTGTTTTTTTTTTTGTTTTTTTTTACAGCACTAGTGGCTTGTTTTTTCGACAATAGGCTGACAGGAAAGGGGCATGAGAGAGAGGAGAGACATGCGGCAAAGGACCACAGGACGGTTTCGAAACCGGGTCGGCCGCGTCGAGGACTAAAGGCTGGTTTATACTCAGAAACCAGGTCATCTGTGTGTGTGTCGCAGTACACGCAAATATGCCCCCGCCCCTTCCGCAGACACTCTGGTGCACCTCTCGAAATTGTAGGTGATCGCAAACAGTGCCGTAGACAGGAGGCCTCTGATTGGTCAAATCTAGATCTGCATCCGGTAAGGTACCATTGTGTACTATTTCCTGTTTGGTACCTTACTGGCTTGTTTTGTTTGTATGACCACCGAATTGTGAAGTTCAACCAGCTAGAAGAACGAGGTGCTGCGGGAGTATAACCAGCCCTTAAGGCCTCTGTATATGGCTCATGAGCCACCTATACACGCTAATGTTTTTTAGAATTTAGAAGACCCTTCTTAAATGGATTATATTTCTAAACACCCTCTGGTATTTTTAGGTTATATTAAAGGTACACTATGCAACTGGTGTTGATTTTCCAGTGAGGCTCCCTCCAGAGGGCGAAAGTAAAAGTGCACTGTCGTAAATATGCACAGCTGTTCTCCTGGTTTCTCCGTCAAGCCAGGCGCGGTTGTTTTGAGCTTAGCAGCGAATGACTAACGCTGCGTTCACACTGGACGTAGCTGGCGCGACAGAAGCAGCGAGTTTACATGCAAAGTCAATGGTTGACGCGCGTCAAGGCGCAGCAAAAGGTCCCGCGGCGCGTTTTGAGCACCAGGCGCAGCACGTCTGAGCAGCTGAAGCAGCGCGTCGGGTGCGTTTAACGCAGGGAGAGAGACACAGCGCTGATGATCTCTCCTCTTAAACAGTTTATTTCAATTCAATTCAGTTTATTTATATAGCGCCAAATTCACAACACATGTCATCTCAAGGCACTTTACAGTTCAACCAGATCATACAGTCAAATTGATACAAAGTTTTCTATCTAAGGAAAACCAGTTGATTGCATTGACTCATTGACTCAAATACAATCCCCCACACTAAGCATGCTTGTAGCGACAGTGGAGAGGAAAAACTCCCTTTTAACAGGAAGAAACCTCCAGCAGAACCAGGCTCAGTGTGAGCGGCCATCTGCCGAGGCCGACTGGGGTTCAAGGAGACAGAAGCAGAGATACAAAAAGCAGCTGTAAAAGGCGGCCCCGTCCAGGAAACACGCAGCCAGGCAGACGAGCTCCAAGGCAGCTCCCATGCCAGAGGACGAAGAGAGCACATCCACTCAGTCACGGTCAGAGAAACAGGACCACACTGGAAAACAGGCCGATCTCCAACATCTATAAACAAGGGTGTTGATAGAAGCAGCACAGCTGATGTTTCTTTCCAGGATGACGTCACAGCCAAACAGGAACAGACGAGGCAAAGCTACTCTGAGGAAAAGCAGAGAGAGCAGAAGGTTAGAGATTGAACTAACAGATTCTGCAGAATAGGAGAACAGAGAGAGAATGAAGCAGAATGATGAAATGGGGGTCCCTATGTCCTCCAAAAGTCTAAGCCTATAGCAGCATAACTATAGAGATAGCTCAGGATAACCTGAGCCACCCTAACTATAAGCTTTATCAAAAAGGAAAGTTTTAAGCCTAGCCTTAAAAGTAGACAGGGTGTCTGCCTCACGGACTAAAACTGGTAGTTGGTTCCACAGGAGAGGAGCCTGATAACTAAAAGATCTGCCTCCCATTCTACTTTTAGAAATTCTAGGAACCATTAGTAAACCTGCAGATTGAGAGCGAAGTGCTCTGTTAGGAACATAAGGAACAATCAGATCTCTGATATAAGATGGAGCTTGGCCATTTAAGGCTTTATATGTGAGAAGGAGGATTTTAAATTCTATTCTTGATTTAACAGGAAGCCAATGAAGAGAAGCCAGGATAGGCGAGATATGATCTCTCTTTTTAATTTTCATTAGAACTCTGGCTGCAGCATTTTGGATCAGCTGAAGGCTTTTAACTACAGTTTGTGGACTTCCTGATAGTAAAGAATTACAATAGTCCAGCCTTGAAGTAACAAATGCATGGACTAGTTTCTCAGCATCACCCCTGGACAGGATATTTCTAATTTTTGTAATGTTCCTCAGATGAAAGAAGGAAATTCTAGAAACCTCTTTGATGTGGGATTTAAATGACAGGTCCTGATCAAAAATAACACCAAGATTTTTTACTTTATTATCTGAAATCAGTTTAATCCCATCCAAATGAAGTGACTGGCTAATCAGTTTCTTTTTCAGAGACTCTGGTCCAAAGACTATAACTTCTGTTTTGTCTGCATTCAGGAGCAGAAAGTTAAGAGTCATCCAGGTTTTTATGTCTTCAAGACATGCCTGTAATCTATGTAATGGGTTAGCTTCATCTGGATTTATAGACAGATATAGCTGGGTATCATCAGCGTAACAGTGGAAATTAATCCCATGCTGTCTAATAATTCTACCAATTGGGAGCATGTATAAAGTAAAGAGAATTGGTCCTAGCACTGATCCCTGTGGTACTCCACAGGTAACCTTTGAGCGTGTTGAAGATCTATCATTAACATGAACAAACTGAATTCGATCAGATAGATAAGATTTAAACCAGTCTAGTGCTGTTCCTTTAATTCCAACAAAATATTCAAGTCTTTCTAAAAGAATATTATGGTCAACTGTATCAAATGCAGCACTAAGATCCAACAGGACGAGCACAGATACAAGTCCATTATCTGAGGCCATGAGAATATCATTAGTGACTTTCACCAGAGCTGTTTCAGTGCTATGATGAGCTCTAAAGCCAGACTGAAACTCTTCAAAAAGTTCATTATGGTGGAAGTGATCGCAAACTTGTTTGGCAACTACTTTCTCAAGAATTTTGGATAAGAAAGGAAGATTGGATATAGGTCTATAATTGACCAAGTCATCTGGGTCAAGAGACGGTTTCTTAAGCAGAGGTTTAATTACAGCAACCTTAAAAGCTTTAGGTACATATCCCTGTAACAGAGATAGATTAATCACATCTAAAATGGAGGAGGAGATCAAAGGGAATACCTCCTTAAATAACCTGGTTGGAACTGGATCTAACATACAAGTTGAAGGCTTAGATGAAGACAATAATTTTGCTAATTCAGAGAGTTCAACTGGATCAAAGCAGTCTAAACCCGGTTCAGATTCCATGACTACCTCAGGTACAATCGCGGATAGAGGAGTGCTTATGATCTTATTTTTAATAAGATCAATCTTATTTATAAAGAATCCCATAAAATCATTGCTGCTAAGAGCAGGTGGAATGGACGGTTCAACAGAGCTATGGCTCTGGGTGAGTTTGGCAACTGTATTAAAAAGAAATCTAGGATTATTCTTATTCTCCTCTATTAATGAGGAGAAGTATGCTGCTCTTGCTTTACAAAGAGTCCTCTTATACAGCAGTAAACCATTTTTCCAGACTAGGAAGGACTCTCGCAGGCCTGTGGAGCGATATTTTCTCTCCAGTTTCCTAGCATTTTGCTTCAAAGTACGCAGCTCTGCATTAAACCAAGGAGCAAGCTTTCTATTTTTAACGGTTTTCATTTTCAAAGGAGCTGCGTTGTCTAAGGCAATACGCAGAGAACTAGCAACCCCATCAACAAAATCATCAACCTGTGAAGGGGAATAAGCTAAGCTTTTGCACTCTGCAGCACTGCTCAGTGACACAGAGGAGAGAGAAAGTGAAGCAGATTCTTTAAAATTTATAACTGCACTATCTGATAAAGATCTACTAAAATTGAACCTTCTTTTGGGGGAGGAGAACTCTGTTAAAGTAATCCTGAAGGTTATTGGAAAGTGGTCAGAGAGGACAGGGTTGTGAGGAAATACTGTTATTTCTTCACATTCTATGCCGTATGTCAGCACAAGATCCAAAGTATGAAGATGAGAATGCGTGGGACTATTCACATTTTGAACAAAGCCAATAGTGTCTAAGATAGCATTAAAGGCTGCTCTTAAGCTATCGCCTTCAATGTCAGCATGGATGTTAAAATCTCCCACTATGATGACCCTGTCAGTATTTAATACCAAATCAGAAAGGAACTCTGAAAACTCATCTAAAAATTCAGAGTAAGGACCTGGTGGACGATACAAAGTTACAAAAAGAAGAGGTTTTCTTGCCTTGAAATTTGGATCAGGGAAATTAAGGGTTAAATGTTCAAAAGAGTTGTAGGTATTAATTGTTTTGGGAGTAATCAGTAAGTCAGACTGGAAGATTGTTGCTACTCCTCCTCCTCGCCCAGAACTTCTGGGGATGTGAAAATTTAAATAGCTTGAAGGAGTTGCCTCATTTATGCTCACATAATCCTCTTGCTGCAGCCAGGTTTCTGTAAGGCAAAACAAGTCAATGTGATTATCACAAATCAAGTCATTAACTAGTAGACTTTTAGAGGAAAGCGATCTTATGTTAAACAGACCGCATTTAATTGTTTTAACTTTTTCCCCAATTGGAGTTATTTTGATTTTAATTAGATTATCATGATTTACTCCTTTGGGAATCTTTGCTAATTTATTAGATTTTGGTCGTGGGCAAGACACTGTCTGGATGGAGTAAAGAGTGGGTAACAGTAGAGAAGCTGCAGAGATGTGTGTTAAACTACAACTCTGCTTCCTGGTCTGCACCCTGGGTGGTCAGGGTTTTGGAGGACTAATAAATGTGGCCAGATTCCTAGAAAGAAGAGCTGCACCATCCAAAGTGGGATGGATGCCGTCTCTCCGAATCAGACCAGGCTTTCCCCAAAAGGATTGCCAATTATTAATGTAGCCCACGTTGTTTTCAGGACACCACCTAGACAACCAGCGGTTGAATGACGACATGCGGCTAAACATGTCATCACTGGTCAGATCAGGGAGGGGACCAGAGAAAATTACGGAGTCCGACATTTTTTTGGCAAACTTACACACCGAAGCAACACTAATTTTAGTGACCTCCGATCGGCGTAACCGGGTGTCATTACCACCAGCGTGAATAACAATCTTACTGTATTTAACCTTATCCTTAGCCAGTAGTTTCAGGTAGGATTTGATGTCGCCCGTTCTGGCCCCCGGCAAACATTTGACTATGGTCCCTGGTGTCTCTAATGCCACGTTTCTGACTATGGAGCTGCCAATCACCAGAGTGGGCTTCTCAGTGGGTGTGTCACTGAGTGGGGAAAACCGGTTAGAAACGTGAACGGGTTGGTGGTGACCAGTGGGCAGAGATCCACGACTACGCTTTCTGCGTACAGTTACCCAATCGCCTGGCTGCTCAGGCACTTTTGGAGGACAGCTACGTGGGGGGCCTACTTTAACTCCTGGATGTTCAACAGCCTGAAGCCTGGATTCTAACTCTGACACCCTCGCCTCCAAAGCTACAAAAATACTACACTTATTACACATCCCATTATCACTAAAGGAGGCAGAGGAATAACTGAACATCTGACACAGAGAGCAGGAGAGAGGAGAGGAAGAAGGAAGAGTTGGAAAAGAGTCAAGGGAGGGAGAGAGGGAAGCCATAGCAATGCTAAGCTAGCGCTAGCCTAGGCTAGCTACTCCTTGCTATCAGAAATAAAACCGTGTGAAACTGACAAGTGCTCAGTAGAAAAGTGCAGCAGAAGGTGCTATGTTTTAAAGTAGTCAGTTAGAGTTACTTAGATACAGAGATATCATAGAGAAAATAACTTAACTTCAGATGGAGATCCTCTGAACAGCTGCACACTCAGTTAATCCAAACAGGAAGTGAACAGGTCGTGTCAGAAGGATGTGCGATTATTGACGCCTAAATTAACTTAAAATGCAGAAATCTGCCGGCAGAATATGCAGTTTGGATTATTTAGATGAAAAACACCTACCAGCTGCCGCGGTGAACCGCTGCTGATGAAGGGATCCATACTGTTGGCGCCCCGCTGGTATGTGGGGGTCTGAGCGGCTCCGACAGAAAAAATATTGAAGGCAGGATAATAATCTGAATTAACTGACGGCACTGATTACGTTTTCAGGTGTATTTTCTCACTTAAACACATATTAAAACTACTTTATTCCCACTGATCACAGCAAATATAGCTGCAAGGCAGAGAAAGGATAGTGAAGCTCCGCCCAACACGCCTCAGACACAGCCGGAGCAGCAAAGCTGCTTCAGCCACGCGTCAGAACTAACTGGTACAAGCAGCAAAAAGGAAGCAGCAGACGCGATTTTGCTGCTTTTGCTGCGTGAACGTAGCATAACTGCACAAAGATCGCCACTGTGCTAGCAACGAGAATGCTTTTAACTGGGGGCGTGTAGCAGTTCTCGCCGTAAAGCAAGACTGACTCTCACGAGACTTCTGAGCCTGTGGGTGCGGGTCGGTGCTCCTGCAGTTGCAAGTGCAGTATTTCCCCCACAGACCACCAGGGCGGCCGAGAATACCTTTGTTCAACCTGAAATGACTCATTTAATCATCCAAAACGTTATGGAACACATTAATTAACTGAAAAATGTTGCATAGTGTCCCTTTAATTCAACACAGTCGATGCGACTTTTCTCTCGGATCTGTTGAAGCTAACCGTTTGTAATCTGAGTAAAGCCAGGACACATCCAGACGTGTTCTTCGCAATAATTAACCAGAAACTTAATCACTGCTCACCGTTGCTGATGACCTCTCTCTCTATGGTGGTCAGCTCTTGTTTGAAGCTGGTGAAGTATTTGTTGAGAGCCCAAACAAAAGCCTGGTAGGTCCTAAAAGGAGACTCTGAGCCCTTTCGGTAGCTGTGGGATGAACCTACGCCCGGTGGGAAGGGCTCTGAGCTGTGGCCCGTCACCTCGTCTATGAACCTCTGCAGCCTGAACACCGCCTGTCCGTACACGGCGATGTGCTCCAGCACAGAGCGCAGGCAGTTCTGTGAGAACAAAGAATAGTGATCCATATGAACTACACCAACTTTAATGGTTTGATATTCTTTTTATTTACTTCTTCAAACTCACACTCGTCAGATGAGTTACTACCACATTACTCCTCACAGACACTTTGCTGTCATGATGCTGGAATATAAAGTGTTTCTTCACACCAGAGAGAAGCCTGAAGAACACAAAATCAATATGCAGACATTACCTCATCGATCTATGGAGGACTCGCAGCTCCAGGGATCAGTAGGACAATTAAACTTGTTTTAAAGACAGAAGATCAATTTCTTCCTACATGTGTGTCATGATTGGCCTTGGTGTCGCTGGATCTTACCACAAGGTTTCCCGGATGACTTGGGTCTCGGTGACGAAGGCCTTTTCTTCCGGCAGATACAGAGGATCAGTGTTATATAAGTGTTGGTCCCTGAGAACAGAGGGCAAAGGCTTTGCCTGAATATTACAAATCCTTTCAATTTAGATGAACTAAAAGCTGTTTATTAAAAACACTTCAAGTAAGTGTGACTTTAAAACCAAGTTTCTTTTGATCTATAAATTAAACGTTGATACAAAACCTCCATCTCAAAATTCAGAAGTGTTGTTAATGTTATTAATAAATATTTGGATTGGTTATCCTGTTAAATGTCATTGAGGATCAGGTTGACACGTCTAAGGGCCCTGTCACACCTTGCCAATTTAACTAGCGTATGCCTGACGTCCCAGAATCTCCTAAAACCCTGGCATACGCTGAACTTTCTATGCATTTTTTTTTTATTTTGGGCACTTTCATAGCGTATTTATAACAAGCCCAGAACTTATATCGAACGACAGCCTAACTTATGCATAACACACGGCAATGTAATGCATTGCGCATTACGTAGCATAGGTTAAAGCTGCTCCCCTCAGGTGCATCGCTGCAATGATATTGCCAACCCAAAAAAAGAAACTGAATAAATGAAAAGTAAAAAGAAAGAAAGAAGGTTTGCAGTCGCAGCAGATTCAGCGTCATGTCTGCTAGGAAGTTTGTTGGCCGTGGGCGTGAACGCAGGGTGGAGCCATCACACTGCTGGCAAGATTTCTCGACGTACTCGCCCTGTTTCGACGTGTGCCAGATTGTTTCAGCGTGCTCATAACTTATACAAAACGTACCCATAACTTTTCCAATATACGCCATCATTTTTGCCAGATTTCAGATTTGCCAGTGTCCTGAGTGGGTAGCGTCCATAATCTACTCGAAACGAAGTCATTTAGAATGTTTTAGAGCATAAACAGTAGTGTATAGGATTTCCTAAAAGCGCGTTCACGAGTCTACGGAAACCGCGGCAGATCAAACCAGATGAAAGTGCGCATTCAGCGTCTGCTCTGCCAATAATGCAAGCGTAGAAGAAGAAATCTGCTGTTTACCTGTGCAAAGAAAGAAACAACGAAAGAAAAATGTCTGAGGACTTCAGTGTTGAGGAAGAGCATGAGTTCTTTGCCGAGCTGAATGCGCACTTTCATCTGGTTTGGTCTGCCGTGGTTTCCGTAGGCTCGTGAACGCGCTTTTAGGAAATCCTATACACTACTGTTTATGCTCTAAAAACATTCTAAATGACTTCGTTTCGAGTAAATTCTGGATGCTACCCACTCAGGACACTTGGAATACATTGGACGAGCAGTATGGAGGAATATTGACACGTTTTTTGTGGACTTTTATGGACCTTTCTGCCTCGGTCACCATAGACCTCCATTATTTGAATGTCAGCAGACAGCAAGAAGCCTCCCAGATCTCCAGATGCATTTGAGATATCAAAAAAGTACTCTAGAGTGTTGTTCAGCATGGGGGTGAGTAGAAAATGAAGGCTAATCATGTTTTGGGTGTACTATTCCTTTAATTGTGTTGTTACTGTACATTTATTCCAGGACACTCTGTCTCTCCTAAAGATTTGCGTCATATCAGGGTTCTGCTTTGAGATTAGTTTGTTCTGGTTTGTCTCAGTGTCACACCGGAAAAACCAACTAGAAATAAGTAAAAAAAGTTCCTTAAATTAAGTGTATTTACCCTTAATTTGAGTAGGTAAATGAGATGGTTTGCCAATGGAATGAGTATTTTTACTCTTAAAATAAGATGATTAGATAATATGCACTTGAAATAAGACAATGCAAATGTGTTTCCTTATTTTAAATGTAAATTGTCTTGTTCCATTGGAAAAATGTATCTTTTACCTCCACAATCCAAGAACAAATGAACTTATTTTAAGAAAAATCTAGATTTTCAATTTAAGTTATCGTCATTTAGGTTTTTGTTCCAAGGACTGGGAATGTCTCACTGTATGTTTGTTTCTCCTATTAGATATTTTGCTTTTAAAGATGTATAAAAAGTGAACTCAAGCCTGTCAGTTTAAAACAGGGCAGACCAGATACAGGTGATGTTGGTCTTGTAAGAATTTTATACTTAAAGTACCACTATGATTGTCTCCAACAATGAATCCACTCTTTTGTTTTTTATTTTGCATCTGATAGAATTTTTGGTTTTTCCTTTTCTTAGAACTACATCACCAAACTGGTATCTGCTCCTAAGGACTGGTTTTGTCTCTTCTCATTAAAGTGAAACTATGATTATTTTCAGCCAGTTAATTTGTTTATTGAATTTATTGATGTATACATTTATTTTTTCCATTTAGTCACGCTTCATCATAAAGGAGACGAGGCTTACCAAACGTTGAGCAGGTTGGAGTGCAAGTGCAAGCTGTGAGGGAAACGAGGAGCGTGACCGACCCAGTACGGAGTCACCACATGCTGCTCCAGCCAAGCCCGGGCATCCGGTTCACCCACTGGGAAATAAAAAGTCATACATGACATGCCTGTGAGGTTCTTCCATTGATTCTCATTTAAAAGCCATGAAGTACTTCCCCTGTATCTTGCAGAGACATTAATTGGTTGGTTATTGTGCACTTTTTTTTTTCCTGTTACAGCTACAGAGGTGCATGTGTCAAAGTACCAACGATGCATAAAATAAAAACGATGTATAAATTCTTGTTTTAAAAATTCAATGTTTATTGCCTTCATTGCTTCGATATCCGATACGCCTAGTGGGGCATTTACCAGCATGAGTGCAGCTATTCTGTGAAGGCAGCAGAAGTTTGTCAGAGAACATTAATAAACAGACAACACCATGACGAGATGCAGTGGAGGTACTCATGATCACTCTGGAGGGGCTGCAGAGCATTTTAATGCATTTTAATTTTTTAGGCCACTCAGTGTGGCATCGCTACACATTGCTGTGTCGTTGCAGATAACAAAAGAAATGCGTCCATCAAAACACAATCTCTTTAACTCTTGTTAGACCAGAGCCAATCAACCAGTGTGATGCGAATAGTTTTGTAGCCTCGACTCAAGCATTTAGTTGCTAAGGCGATTGCTATGGTGTTCTCGGATTTGGCTGAACTATCTGAACATTTTTTTTTTGCTGTCGTCCAGTCCTTGCTCTTAAAAAAAAAAAAATCAAAGCTCCATTCTTCTTACAGGACTTAAAGAAAAAAAATCCTGAGCCTGAACTTTTTTGGAGAAGGCTGTGGTTGTTTAAAAAGAATTTATTTACACTAAACAGGAAATTTTGGCCAAAAGTAGAGGCCATTATTTTGTTAAATTAAAGATAATTTATTAATTATTATTAAACATTTTGTAGACCACTTTTAATGCCTTGTGAACATTTACAAATTCCAATTTAAACTGCTGATTATAATAGTGGTGGGTATTAGAAAATGCTTTAGTATACAATGTGTGACGGTATTAGGGCACAGCAAATTGCTATATTTTAAGCAGCTTAAAATACAATTTTCTATTTTTATTTGCATATTTGAATAGATGAGCAAATAAAATAAAAAAATGCTTTTAAAAACAGCCTTGCACATGGGGTGCCTCTGTGTTGCCATAGCAACGACTGCTCTCCTTTATTGGAGAAGGGAAGAGGCTGTCCCATTCTCATTTATACCCCCCAACTTCAATCAAGGCGCTCTCCACAGCTGCTAGTGTGACTTCATTGGGAGTGACACTGGTTGGTTAAGGGTTGATGCATAGGGGGCCGTTTGGGCCCACATGCAAGCTGTGATCACTTCTGCAGAGCTGTCAGCCATGAGAATTAATAAATTTAAAAGTTTAAAAAAGCCAGGAGGATGAATCTTTATACAGAAAGAAGGATGGTGCTGTTCAATTTTATCAGCAGATTAAGTCCGACAGGCACTCGAAGAGATGTGAATTAGTCCGATGCAACAACAGAGGGAACTTTGCGGGGCTTCAATTAAGGGGACGTCTCGTCAGAGGAGCTGACAGCTTCCAGGTAGTGCAGAAACCAGTGGTTACGGTTCACCAGTTTCATAGCGACACCTTGGCAAACACACAGTCAGACCAGGACTGATCCGGGGACAGCAAAGAAGGTGGACCAGGTGAACAACCGGATGTTTTTTCTCATTTGCTTCAGGCAGGCGGGACCACCACACAAGGCGATACCGTTCAGCTCACTCTGAATCGTAGACAGAAAGCAGTCTGTATTCGCCGGCAAAAATCTGACTTTTCCTGAGGGAAGTGGCCAGATAGTGTGGCTTCAGCTGTGTCCCGCCTAACAGACGTCATAGGACAAAGAGGCTGGTAAGGTGTTCTTGCCATGGATTTAAAGAGACATAGCATCAGGGCTTTTAGCTCGCTTACGCCATAGATATATGATCCTGTAGCTTTTGTTCCACAATAGTTCTCTGCATTATGACACCAATAATACATTTTCCAACTTGTCTTGCCCTGCGACAGACCGGCGACCTGCCCAGAGTCTACCCCGCTTCTCACCCAAAGGCTGCCAGAAATCTGAACTGCGGTGTAACAGTTTATAAACACCTACAAACATTAACGTTTTAAAACCTGCTTGTATTACATTTTATATTAATTATAAAAAGTTTTATAATGACTTTCAGTCTCTATTGACTTCAGCAGGAAATCCCCCACAGCATCGCCGGCTTCAGAAAGCTTTCACAGGGGAGTCCCAGCACTGTGGGGTGTCCTGTTATCGCTGGTGCTGCTAGGACATTTAGCGTTGAGAAGTATATGTTTATTTTCCCTTTCCGAAGAAGGAGAAGAAGAAAAAACACACACACAAAAAAGCCTGATGCAAGATTGCTGCAATTCCTGGAAAGCAGGTACAAACCAAGAAAACTTTAAGCCCTGCTCTTATTAACTAAGTTTAAAGGTCACACCTGTCCATGTCACTGGAACTGTCTTGCTGTTGGTGTCCTGGTCCTCCTGGGGGGTTCTGTCTAACTGGATCCCGGAGTCCTCTCTGCTGATTGGCTGCTGACTGTCTTCCTCCTCACTTTCATCCTCGGACCACTCCTCCAACAAAGCAAATCAACAAACAATCATTCAACTAATAACAGCTTTTTGCTTAATTTAAAGCGACTGCGTCGTTGTTGCAACTCACTGGCGTATCTGGAAACGGCCCAGTTTCTATTTCCTCTCCTTCCATCAGATACTTGGACCAGTCAAATTTGTCTTCTGGTTCTGTGCATAAATACGTCAGAGGTGCTGGCATTTATGGGGTGTGAATAATTTAAACGTTAAAATGAAAAGCTCACCGGTATCTTTCACCCTGGGTCTCTCAGTGAAGTTTGTGTTTGAGGGAGAATCTGATAAGAAAAGCAGCAGTGACAGGACACTGTAGTGGGTATCTGTCTAAAAGACATAAAGACACACAGAAAAAGAAGTGGAACAGTCTGAAAGCAATCTGGAATTTCAGGCAACACTACTTTCCTAAGAGCTATTAGAATGTTGTAACCCATTGCTAATATCGTCTACATTAGATTATCCTTGGGCTAATTTATTTCAATCCGACCTGCGTGCTGGATTTCCTACCTTCGTTCCATGGGTGTTGGGTAGTGGTGAGCTCAGGAACTCTTCAGTCAGCCTCCTCCAGCTTCTTGCTTTACTCAGGTCAGAGTGAACCATCAGTTTTTCATAGATTCTGAAAAAAAAATAAGGAAATTGCAGAGCATGCATAGCAGCATTTTGCAAAGGGTGGCACAGCATGAAGATCAGATTATGGCAGGGAAATAAGGCTTAAAATCTACAGGTGCTGGTCATAAAATTAGAATATCATGAAAAAGTAGATTGATTTCAGTAATTCCATTTAAAAAGTGAAACTTGTATATTATATTCATACATTACATACAAACTCATATATTTCAGATGTTTATTTTGTTTAATTTTGATGATTACAAATGTCAACAAATGAAAATCTCAAATTCATCATATCAGAAAATTAGAATATTACTGAAGACCAATAAAAACAAAGGATTTATAGAAATGTTGGCCAACTGAAAAGTATGAACATGAAAAGTATGAGCATGTACAGCACTCAGTATTTAGTTGGGCCTCCTTTGGCCTGTATTACTGCAGCAATGCGGCGTGGCATGGAGTCGATCAGTCTGTGGCACTGCTCAGGTGTTATGATAGCCCAGGTTGCTCTAATAGTGGCTTTTAGCTCTTCTGAATTGTTGGGTCTGGTGTATTGTATCTTCTTCTTCACAATACCCCATAGATTTTCTATGGGGTTAAGGTCAGGAGAGTTTGCTGGCCAATTAAGAACAGGGATACCATGGTCCTTCAACCAGGTACTGGTAGCTTTGGCACTGTGTGCAGGTGCCAAGTCCTGTTGGAAAATGAAATCTGCATCTCCAAAAAGTTGGTCAGCTGCAGGAAGCATGAAGTGCTCTAAAACTTCCTGGTATGTGGCTGCGTTGACCCTGGACCTCAGAAAACACAATGGACCAACACCAGCAGATGACATGGCACCCCAAACCATCACTGACTGTGGAAACTTTACACTGGACTTCAAGCAACGTGGATGAAGTGCCTCTCTTCTTTTCCTCCAGACTCTGGGACTTTGATTTCCAAAGGAAATGCAAAATTTACTTTCATCAGAGAACATGACTTTGGACCACTCACCAGCAGTCCAGTCCTGTTTCTCTTTAGCCCAGGCAAGACGCTTCTGACGCTGTCTGTGGTTCAAGAGTGGCTTGACACAAGGAATGCGACAGCAGAAACCCATGTCTTTCATACGTCTGTGTGTGGTGGTTCTTGAAGCACTCACTCCAGCTGCAGTCCACTCTTTGTGAATCTCCCCCACATTTTTGAATGGGTTTTGTTTCACAATCCTCTCCAGGGTGCGGTTATCTTTCTTGCTTGTACACTTTTTTCGACCACATCTTTTCCTTCCCTTCGCCTCTCTATTAATGTGCTTGGACACTGAGCTCTGTGAACAGCCAGCCTCTTTAGCGATGACCTTTTGTGTCTTGCCCTCCTTGTGCAAGGTGTCGATGGTCGTCTTTTGGACAACTGTCAAGTCAGCAGTCTTCCCCATGATTGTGTAGCCTATAGAACTAGACTGAAAGACCATTTAAAGGCTTTTGCAGGTGGTTTGAGTTAATTAGCTGATTAGAGTGTGGCACCAGGGGCCATCAATTTTGAACCTTTTCACAATATTCTAATTTTCTGATATGATGAATTTGAGATTTTCATTTGTTGTCATTTGTAATCATCAAAATTAAACAAAATAAACATCTGAAATATATGAGTTTGTATGTAATGTATGAATATAATATACAAGTTTCACTTTTTAAATGGAATTACTGAAATCAATCTACTTTTTCATGATATTCTAATTTTATGACCAGCACCTGTAATCTTAAATCTTTTTCCACCAAATCCGAATAATCAATTTTTTGTTGCATCACACACTGAAAAAAATAATATAGCCACACTGGAAAAATGATCTAGAAATAAGTCAAAATTTATTAAATTAAGTGTATTTACCTTTAATATGAGAAGATAAATGAGATAGTTTGCCAATGGAATGAGTATTTTAACTCTTAAAATAAGATAATTAGATCATATGCACTTGAAATAAGACCATACAATTGTTTTTTTCTTATTTTAAATCTATTGGCAAAATATCTCTTTTACCTCCTCAATCCAAGAACAAATGCACTTATTTTAATAAAAAATTACCTATGTAAATTTCGATTTTTTTCCCCCAGTGCATTTCTTGGCATTTACTTAATCATATTTAGTTTAACACAATTGTTTCATGTTAGCAGGGTAGAACATTTAAAAAAAATGTTTTAAAGTAACTAAATATGATTAAGTAAATACCAAAAGCTGTTGCATTTTTTCCACCCGGGGTAACAAATAAACTTCTTTTTTTTTTTTTACTGGCTTTTATTTCAACCATCTGCTCTTCTTGACCCTTTTAATTTAAAGGGAAAAGAATTGAAATTGTGAAAAAAATAAAGAAAAGAAATTGAAATAAAAATAAAATCAATCACTAAATGTTTGCGCCTAACGGTATTACAGTGGGCAAGTTTATCAGTTATAAGAACACATCTAAGAATAAAAAGTGATGAACCAAACGAAAAGTAAAGCCCAAAAAGTGCATTGGTGGAAGAAAAAAAGATTTTCTAAAGATTAAACCTATATAAACAGAAAATGTGACTAATTGATTATATTAATTATTGCCCAGGTCTAGGTCAGATGCTTCATTAAATCATTATTTTTTTTTTATCCTACATTGGATTAAAGCACTTTCAATAGACCTTCAACTTAAACAAAAAATCAAAAATGTAAAATAATTAAATAGACTAAATAGAAAGAAATGTTCAGAAGTGCTTCAAAATATTGATACATTTTTCCCTGATCGAATCCGATACATGAGCTTAGGGCTGCAACTACAATTATGTGCTAATCGATTAATCTGTTGATTAATAATCTGATTTTCTACAGAATTTCAACCAGTTGACGATTATTTTTTTTTCTGTTTGAGGAGTTCTGGATTAGGGATGGGAATCGAAAACCGGTTCCTGTTCAGAACCGGTTCCGTATTTTCCGATTCCATGGCATCGTTTGGCAGCTCGCTGAACGATTCTTTTTTCGATTCCCGCAGCACCAGAGCCTAGAGCGCCGGCTCTGGGGAGCACGACTTAAGTCACGTTTTTTACGTAAGTTACGCAAGTTACGTAAGTTACGCAAGTTGGAAGAACTATTCGAGGAGGAAGACAACGAGCTGCGGTCACTTTGTGAATCAAAGCCCCGTCTTTCCTTAGCCCAGAGGGTAGATCAGGAAATCCAGCTCTATAAAAGCTTGCCCTCCATCCCCTGCAGGGATAGCGCCACACTGTGGTGGTGGAACAAGCAAGATACGCTGCCCTTGCTATCTGGACTGGCTGAAAACTACCTCTGTGTGCAGGCTTCCTCCACCCCATCTGAGAGGGTGTTCTCCACGGCTGGAGACACCTTAAGCGCTGAAAGATCCCGTATCCTTCCAGAAAAAGCAGATATGCTCATCTTTCTGCAAAATAACTGTTAATTTTCCCTACTACACAGATGTTACTCCAGTTTCACATTTCCTGTGGACATCTTGATCTTGTTGAGTTTGTAAGATTGTGCAATAGTTAAGTAAACAAAGTTGATGCTGATAATCAAACTGTTTGTTCTCCTTTTTTCCCCAAATTGGAATCGAAAAAAGAATCGATAAAGAATCGAATCGTTTCATAGAATCGAAAAGGGAATCGGAATCGTGAAAATCTTTTCAATTCCCAACCCTATTCTGGATAGACAGAGCAGTTTGACAAAATCGTTTTTTTTTTTATCTTAAATGCAAAATGCTTATATATTTTTAAAGTTTTGGTATAATCACTGCCCCAATACAGTTGCTCTGTCAGCCTAAGGGATGTTTAGGCTACGTTCACACTGCAGGTCCTAATGCATTTAGTCAGATTGGATTTTTTTTTGTGTGGCTGTTCACATGACCGTCTCAGATTGTGTCCATAAAGTGACCTACATGTGGAGAAAAACAACAAGACGTGTCTGAGGTCAGTGTCTACTTAAAGCTGTTAAGCAGTGGAAACAGCAGCAGCAACATCTCTAAGGAGGAATTTGGGGATGCAGCGTCAACTGAGCTGTTATGGTTTGACCCCTCAAGTTTCTTTTGGATTATTGTATCTCCCTAAATACTTACTACTTTCAACATTTCATTGTCCCTCCACTGTACACATCCGTCTATGCCAGTGGTTCCCATCCCTTCTTCGGGTAGCCCTGTCCCTCATGTTTAAGTTATCCCCTTATTGCATCACGCAAGAAGATAATGGATGATCAACAAGTTTCTGCAAGTTCTCTGTAGATCAGGCATCCCCAAAGTTGGTCCTCAAGGGCCGCTGTCCTGCAGGTTTTAGAGGTTTCCATGATGATTGCAGTTGAGCAAAAGCCTGTTAATCAACTTTCAATTAAAACCAGCTGTGCTGGAGCAGAGAAACCTCTAAAACCTGCAGGACAGCGGCCCTCAAGGACCGAGGTTGGGAATGCCTGCTGTAGATGGAGAGCAGTTTAAGTTGTAGATGACTAAGAGAAATAACTGCATTTTCATGAGGAAATCTTTCGATTACAGCCCAGCGTCCTTCCCAGACAGCAGGGGAACATGAAACCAAATTTTAATCAACTCCGTCAACCCCGACAGTCTCTCAATTTCTAACGGTTGAATCAACTTTCATTATGCGATGGAAATGAAACGTTTATTTATTGTTGGTTCCAGTGTTGGATGTTTAACCTGTTTTATATATCGCCAGATCTCAGAGCAAAATGCAGATGAGCGGGACAGGAAGTTGTGCGCAAAACAAAATAGTGCATCTGGTTAATTATCAAATTAATAAAAATAAACAATTTTCTGGGGTAACTTCCCATTACTTCAAGAGTCACTATAATGCCCCAATTTTATCTACAACTGTTGTGATGTTGTAGACTCCTCATATATATATATATATATATATATATATATATATATATATATATATATATATATATATATATATATATATATATATATGTGTGTGTGTGTGTGTGTGTGTGTGTGTGTGTGTGTGTGTGTGAGATGCATTACCGCCATCTACTGAAATAGAGTGTGGATTTGGATTC